GTAGCTAGAACTGATGCTGGTTTCATGACATGGGCTGCTTGTAGTAAATTGTATGACGTACCATCAGGGTTGTTACACTGTAACGTTACTTCCGTGTAAGAGTCGTAGTAGTTGTCATTTCTCTGTTGACATACACGTATAATCCTAGATATGTATGAATTGTCATATCTACCCAAACGTTGTACGGTCAGAAAGTAACTAAATCCACCATAGCTGAAACCAGTTATATAGAATACAAAACCTGGTCCAATATTAAATTCATTTATATCTACAGCAGTTTTGGAATCTACATAACGTCTAATCACATTAAAAATGTTTTCCTCAAGTTGTCGTCCACTAACAGTTTCATCTCCATAGGTCACACCTCGTTTTAATGTACCAACATACAACATAGGTTTATCATCATAACCAGGTGCTACAAATCCCACAGTAGAGTCTTCCACAGTAGGTGCAGCAACATATATGTCACTAGTACCCAGCACAGATAAGTCAGTCAAGTTTCTAATCTGACAATATCCATGATCATTTCCACACGTAACCAGATTATTGTCACCGTAGTTGATTGATAATATTTTATTATAGTTATCAGTTCCATCATCAGGTTTAGTTGTTATATTATAGATGAGTTGTAAATCTGTATCCAGTCTATAGATGTAATCAACACCACCAATGTATACGTCACCAGTGATTGTATCAACAGTCATGTGATTAAAACCAACTGAATCTTGGGTAAACGTATTGACAATAGTGGAATCTACAAATATTACACATATGACTATAATGTTCAGGAACTGTAAAATAGTACCATATCGTGCCATGACAACAGTGGGACACTGGAAAACAACAATAACAATTTGGCTGTGATAAACTATATTTAGATATTTAAATGATTTCCGTGGCTCATATTAATCTAACCTAACATAACGTCATACCATCTATTATTATGCCGCATTTGTTTATTGAACTCCTATACATTATTTGGAATACAATAACACACAGCTGTATATATAAAACGAAACGGCATATACAATATAAAAACAAATGTTAAAGTAAAATGTAATGAACACCGTAGGTATTTTTTATGAATATGACACATCACTGAATAGATCGACACTTTTGGGATGTTTCACTATATCATTAAAAGTGTAACAGTGGACGTACATCTGTATAAAGGAGACGAATCTTATGTGTAGTATATGAACAGAGAATTTAGTTTGGCTCGTTTGAC